GACTGGAAGAGGACGGAAAGGGGCGGCGGGGGTAGGACGATGCACTGAGAGGAGAGAAAATTGGCCAACGCGCCCAACTGTTACCCGATTTCAGATTTGGGTTTCAAAGGGAAAAGGAGAGGACAAAAGGGGTCGTTTTGCTCCGGGAGGATGTGCGCACCCTTCGGGGAGGCCTGGAGCTGGGCATCTGGGGGCTTCTCGCCGCCCTCGGGGGCCCTGCGCGCCCGACCGGGCTCCTGCCTGCCCAGCCGCCCCGCCGCGCCCCACTCGGGCTGGGGTGTCCGCCGGAGGACGAAGGCGAGGCAGAAGGCTGCTCTGGCCCGCCTCGGGTTGGGGCTGCGAAAGCAGCGGGTCCCTGGCCTCCCTGATTGTCCACGGGAGGGTGGTAGGGTGGGATGGTTTGGTGACCTATTTGAATCGGCCTGGTTCCAGCCGGCCCCGGATAGTCCACGCGGGCCTTGCGGGCCGGGAGCCGCGGATGCAGAGTCGTAGGGGTCTGCGTCCACAGCTGGATCCCCACATCCTGGGGTCCACGTCGCTGCCGACAACGCTTCAGTGCTCTCAACTTTAAGTTGGAAGACCCTGAAGTTGCCTTGAAAAGGATGTTAAATGCGACAATTCTAAGACCAGGGCCAACCGGTCCTTACTTTTTGTTTGGATTTTCAGTTAGCACGTTCCAGAAACGACCCTTTTGCCCAGAAGCCACTGCCAAGTAGTGCTCCCCACCCCCAATAGCAGGGTTCGTTCCCCGCTGGAACGCAAACCCTCGCGTTTCTTCGCAGAATCCTCTTGGTTGCTGCTGCTCGCGGCAAAAGCCGGTCTCCACACGCTGACAGCCGCAAGCCAGGCAGGCGGCGGCCTTCCCGCCTCGGAGCTCTAGGTGGCGCCAGCGAGCCGCACTCGCCAAGCTCCTCTTACGGGAATCAAGAGCTACTGTCAAACATAAAAGCAAATCAGAGTTTTCAGTTTTTTTAATGTGTTAAGAATGTTATTCCTTAAGAAAATTTGTAGCTAAATTATTCTCACTTAAAATAAACACTTAGTATACCAATTACACAAATGGGCGGGATTTATGTGAGATTTACTTCATCTGCATTTTTGTAGTGGAAGAGAGCCTTGGTGAATACAGATAATAGATGCAAATAAGATTAGAGTTAAAATAAATAAAGTTTCCATCCGAATAAAAAGAAATTCAATTTTACACGACTTGTAACCATTTGACGGAAGGTCCAGACACGCCATTCAGGTGCACAATCTAATCTCGTCAAAATAATGTTGTTTCCCTCCTCGAGGAAAGAAAATCTCTTTCTTTTCTTTTTCTTTTTCCTTGTCAGGTAGAATCCAATTCATTCCAAGGGGAGAAAACTGGTGTCAGAAAAGGAAACGCCGGAGGATGGTGCGGATCGTGGCTGGGTGGGCGCAGGGCGGAGGAAAATTTGCTTTTCGTTCCTCTGTTGCGCTGGAAGCTATGGGACAGGAAACGCCAGGGAAACTGGGGGACTCGAAATCGCACTGCCCTCACCCGGGCCCGGGCCCGACTCTGCGCCCCCAGGCCGCGGCCCCCACCCGCGCGGACCTCCAGGCCGCTACCCACCTCTGAGTTTGGGCCCTTGGCCACCGCCTCCAGCTCCTTCTGGCCCCTGGGCCGGAGAGGCACAGGCCTCTAGGGCCCCGAGGTGGCCCTGGGGAGGCGCGGACCCACCGCAATTGGGGACCGAACTCGTGTTCTAACTGGGGGGCTCTCGCCTCCCACGCGCGCTGTCTCCAATTTGGTCAACCCCGGCCGGCCGGTCGCCACCCGCTCAAGTCAAGGTTCCCCGTGCCCCCAAGGGCGCCTAGGGCTGGGGGGAGGCCAGGCAGGGGGCCTAGGCCCTCTTTTCGCCTGTTGGCTTCGGCCGGGGCCCCGCTCCCTCTGGGCTCAGGTTCCGTGGGCTGCTGTCTCCCGGCTGGACGCTCTGGCCGGGGCAGCCGCCCGCCGCTCCCAGGAGCCTGGGTGATGGACGTCCGCTGACCCGCGGGGCAGAGGCAGCGCTCACAGGCCTTGATCACTGGCCTGCGGAGGGAGCCGCGCGGCCAGCGGGACCTGCACAGCCGGGCCCTTTGATCTGCCTTTATTATCAACGACAAACAAAGCTGCTTGGGCCCGACGCCCCGGCGCCCGCGTTCCTGGGGAGACCCACCACACCCTTTACCCCGCGCCGCCAGCCCGCGGCCCCCAAACGCGCCAGGCACCCTCTGGGCCTCCAGTGCTCCGGCCCGAAGCCCCTCCAGGAAACGTGCCCCTACCAGGCGGCTCTCCAGAAGACCATCCCCCGACCAGAGGCGCTTAGGGAGTGGGGGGCTCCCGGTTATGAACAGCTTGATCGGGGAGAGAAAAAGGCCAAAGTGAAGAAAAACTCCAGGAAGAAGAGCGGGGCAGCCTGGCTGCGGGGAGCTTAAGAAGGAGAAGGAAGAAGCCATTGAATGTCACGCTGCAAACTCCCTGCTGGGGAACTTCGTTCTGTTTTATCGCTACTTTGCGACTTGGTGTTTCAGAACAGTTTCCGAGAAAGCATTTTGATGATTGCTAATAACAAGAATTTATTTTTTCTTTCCTAAAAATCAAAACCTTCGCTCAAATTCCCAAGGTGGACAGTAATCAAAAATGGAAAAAAAAATATGTTGGTGCTGACTTCGCTTGTATTTCCTCTTGTGTGGGAAGTCTTTTAGAAATATTTTTATTCTGTAAATATGTACTTTATTTTCTAAATTAAAATTTTTTCGAATTGCGAAATTATCTCATTTACCAATTTTCTTTTTGTCTCTCCCTCTTTTCTCCCTCTTTTAAACTGGGGCTGTTAAGTTGGTGGTCAGAAGACAAAGAGAGTGAAAATAATTTTCATTTCAATAATTGCCTTCTGGTCAATTTAACTGTGCCTTATTTTGAAAGAGACTGTCTAAATGAGATTCCTGTCCCAAATGTGTTCCCAGGCCTGATCCCAGCCTTTAATTATTCCCGAGTTTTTTTCTTCAGAATAAGACGCCGCACTGAGTAATCACAAAGAAGTCAGAGAGCATCCTTGAACCTTTTCAGAAGCAGCGCCACTGATATTCAAATAACCTGCGAGGGCCATTTGACGGCGCGGGGACCTAGGCATTTCCAATTCACTATTTGCATAGATCAGCCGTCTTTGAAAAGGAAAGGAGCAGTTGTCTTCCATAACATTAAAAAGCCTAGTTATCAAATCAAGTGCTTAGTTTGGGGGCTTTTAAAACGTTTACATTTTATCTCAGGTTGCCCTTTACCGTTTGACATGCAAATTTGGTGCAGTTAATTTAGACAATTAAAAAGATCTTCAAGGGAGCTTTGTCACAGAGAATATTTGGAGTTTTCCCCGCGGACCAGCTGAGATAAAGTTGGCCAGAACAAATGATGTCTAGGAGATTAATTAGATATTTGATAAGACATGAATCCCTAATAAGGGAATACAAGGCACAGGGGGCTGCTGTGTGCTCTAAGTCAAAATTAATAACATTTAACAAGATTTTCATTTAGGCATGAAATGTCTTTTCCGGGGTATTGACTCTAGCGATTTATTCCCTTGAGTTGCCTTCCAACATACAGGGCCTTGGGAGCTAAAGACTTCTTTTTTAAAAGCGTTTTCCTTTCACAGATTGTTTTTAAATCACTTTTTAAAAACAAGCAAACCCACCAGAATTTTCTCTGACGCCTCCCAGAGGTTTAGGCACCTCCTCAGTTAAAGCTGCCAAGGACCTTTGCATTCTTTAGGCGCTCCAGAGTTTTAAAATGTCACCTTTTGAGAGCCTTCACACTAAGCAATGCAACTACACGTCCTTATAACCCAATTTAATTTATGCTGTTGATATACAAATAAATAATTTTGACTTCTCAAAAACGTATATGTAGTATGGCTTTTATAACCCACATAAACTTTACATTACCTACAACTAACATTAAGGGAATTTTTTCCCAACCGAAAAAAAAAAAATCGACCCACGAAAAGGTTACTGAGGGGGAAACAGGATTTTTAAAAAAGGAAATGTATTGTTCAGAGTCCTTTAATAATACCAAAATGAAAATATGATGTCAAGATTTTCTTCATACAGATAAACGCATTTAATTTCTTTAGATGACCTTAACTTACGTGTTTGTGAGTGAAATGATAACTCAACATTTTAAATATCTTTTACATATATACTGACTTTCACAAAGTGCATCAGAAAATTAAAAAAACTCCCTGAATTTCAGGGATTCACCCAAAAAAACTCTATTCGAATGAACATTTACAAGAAAATAAAAGAGAACACAATATTTTGAACCCTATTTATACAGATGTTATGAAATACAGAGAAACTGTCGCTAGACTTCCAGTTTAATTTCTCACCTTAAGCCTTTCGATGCTTCCTTTTTTAGGAAAAGTCTCATTGTAAGTAGACATCAGGCAGGACTTGGAGCATTTTATATATAATATAATCCACACAAAGGGTGTTTTTATCGGTCCCGTTTGTTTTCAAATGTTCTGACAGTCCTTTGCTGGGTGGTGGCTTGTTTTTGAGAAAAGGAAAGAGACGGGTGTTGGAGGGAGGTGGATAGTGGGCAAAGAGGGAGCCTTTCTATGTATTGCTCTTCGCTCGAGAAGTTTGGGCGAGTGGTATGTGTGTGCGCGCGCGAGTGTGCGTGCTTGTGGTTGCAGATCTCCGGTGTATGTGTACGTCTGGGAGTACGGTTTTTAAAGTGTTTGTGTCGGAGGATGGTTCGCTTTTGTTTCCGGACCACGCATTCGATTCTCATCCGGGCGCGGAAGGCGGAGGGGAACTCCTCGCACGGCGGGCGAACCGCAGCCCGGGAACCCTGAGCGGCTCCACCTCGCGCCCAGCCGGGGCCCCGGGGGCGTCACTGAAGCCCCTGCCCTCCCATCCCCCGCTCTCTCGCCCTCCGAACTTCTCGTTCGTTCTCGGTGTCTCTACTCGCTCGCGTGCTCGCGCCTCTCGCCCGGCCTCTAAGAGTCGTTGGGGCCAGACGCTGCTTCCTTGCCTCCCGAGGAGGCCGCCGCCGCCGCCGCCGCCGCCGCCGCCGCAGCCGCTGCCGCTGCCGCCGCCCGGGCGGCACTGACGCCGGAATCATGCAGGATGAGGTCGGGGGATTCGGAACGGGGCGTCTCCAGGTTGCTGGCGTCCGTGTCACTGTCGCTGCCCTTTTTGCCCCCGCCGCCCCCGTTGTGCGTCTTAATGTGTTTGCTCAGGTGGTCGCTGCGCATGAAGCGCTTGTTGCACACTGGACAGGCGAAGCGCTTCTCGCCCGTGTGAGTCCGCAGGTGCCGCTGCAGCTCGTCCGAGCGCGTGAAGCGCTTGCCACAGAAGAGCCAGTTGCACACGAAGGGCCGCTCGCCCGTGTGCCAGCGCAGGTGCGCCTTCAGGTGCGACGTCTTCCCGTACACCTTGCCGCAGCCCGGGATGTGGCAGCTGTGCAGGCCCTTGCGCCGCAGGCTCGCCCCGGCCGGGCCCAGCCGCTCTGCCTCCTGGCAGTTGGGGCAGTCGCAGGTGGCGCGGCCCGAGTAGCGGCGGGCAGAGCGTGCTGAGCTCCCCCCGGCGGCGGCGGCCGCGGCGCCCGAGATCATGGCGCTGGCGGCGGCGGCTGCCACGGCGGCGCTGGAGTCCGAATAGGAGGGCAACACCGGCTTGAAGCCGTCCTGGGCCAGCAGGTGCTGGCTGGTGGAGAGCAGGTGCGAGGCGGCGGCGGCGGAGGAGCCGAGACCCGTGGAGCTGAAGGCCGAGTGCGTGAGGGAACTGAAGTCGGGGTTGTAGGTGCCCAGCTGCGAGTGCAGCGAGGCCTGGGGGGCGCCCGAGTGCAGCGAGCTCTGGAGCCCCCCAGCGGGGTTCTGCACTTCCAGCCACGACCCCGGGCTGCTGTGCACGTCCCACCACGACGACGCCGCGCCGTTGGTCACCTCGCCGGCCGCCAGCGTCGAATGGAAGCCCGACTTGTACCACGACTCGTACGGGTGCGCCATGCCCACGCGCGGGTACAGGCCGTCGGCCGCTGTCGTGTGCACCTTGGAAATGAAGGCCGACTGGCCACCCGCCTCCTGCGGGGACACTCCGGCCGCTGCCGCCGCGGCAGCCGCCGAGTTGGAGAAGAGGCCGCCGTAGTCGCTGCTGAAGGCGGACGACGTGGGCGACGTGGAGGCCAGGCAGAAGGCGCTGTTGGCGGCGCCCGAGCCGCCCGCCAGGCCGCCCGAGCCACGGCCCCCGGTGGCCACCGCGAAGCCCGAGAGGCTGGAGCCGAGGTTGCAGCTGGACGAGGAGCGCTTCCAGGGGTGAAAGCCGCCTTTGGCGAAGGCGCTCGACTCCGGCAGCGTCGTCAGCGGGCTCGTGTTGCCGATCTTGTTGCAGGTCGCCGCTAGCATGGCCAACGGGGTCGTTCCGAAGCGCGGCTCTTCCTAAAGTGGGTAGGATGGGGGAGGGAGCAAGGAGGAGGAGGGCAGGAGGAAGTGGGGAAGAAAGAAAGTGCACCCGTGAGCAGCCTCGTCCCCTGCGGCTGCTCCCGGGGGGGCCCTAGCTCCCCGCCTCGCGCCTCCTCCCCACGCGCCCGCGGAAGAGTCACCGCACCGGGTGCGGGACAGTGGCCATCACCGCGGCGAAGGTCCGGGGGCCGGAAAGTTGCTCTTCGCTGAGGCTGTAAATCAAAGATGCCTCCGTGTTCCCCGCCTCAGTCGCTGCAACCCTGACTACAACCGGACTTGGGTTGTCGCGGTAAACCGGCTCCTCTCCCAGAAGACCCCAAGTCGCCCTTCGGGGTGACGCGCGAAGGTAAACACAGAGACCAGAGACAACAAACACCGGGCGAGGGCGGAGGCGGCCGAAACAGCAGCCAGGGACGGGCGAAACTTGCAGCACTCCCAGGGTGGCTACGACTTGACTTTTCTTTTTTAATAGAAAACGTTTGGTTTTAAAGTTGACACACACACAAACACAGCGATTATGAAAACAACAATCCGAGGATAAGCGGCCAGAGACGTATTTTCAAAGTCACGGGCGAACTGGGGAGCCGCGGAAATGTAAATATTTATTAGCGTGACTAGATGGACTGCAAAACGATTAAGACTGTTTTCTGGAAACACCACTGTCGCATAATTGCAACAAAATCCCCAAAGCAAGGCGGGGGGTGGGGTATAAATCACGAGGGGAAGAAAAGAAACCTCTAGCTTTTCTTTGAAACCAAGTAAAAAAGGACTTCATTAAGAAGGCCTTTTCTTGCAAAGGCATCTGCTGGGTTCCAAAAACTTGGGAAAAAAATCAGTCCCAGAAATGTGGCAAGTGCTAATAGAAGCTGAAGCTGCAGTCCAGCAGCAACAGTTTCTCGGGAGCCGCAGACTCCAGAAGCCATAACGAAAAATTACTCCGGTTAAAACAAGCAAATGCATTGCCGCGCTTGCGACTTACCCCGAGTATAGACGTGGCCATAGCAGGTCTCTGGCTGCGCAGCGAGGCTGGGAGCGGGGCTGAGCCTGGCGGCTGCTCGGAAAAACTGCTTGGGTCCCGCGCGGCTCCCGCGTCCCCGCGCTCGCGCCGAGCGGACTCCGGGCTCCCGCCGGCTAAACTCAGCCTAAGTGCGAGGAGCACCCGCTTTGAAGTGCCGCTGGCTGCGCCTCTCACCCAATGAGGGCGCAGGCAGAGCAGACGGGAGCTGCCCCGCAGCCAATCAGACGCGCCGAGGGGCCCGGGCCCGGGCTCCCGGCGCGTGCCAGTCAAGTCGGCTAGCTAGGGCGGCGGGGGGGGGGGGGAATGGGGGGGGATACTTGGGTGGGGGGCGAGGGCGGGCTGGGGACTGAAGAAATTACAGTGCAATTAAAAATTTGCACACACTCACGCACCAAGCCAGGTTTAAGTACCAATGAAACCACAAGCACCCCCCCACACACACACACACAAACCACCCCGAGATGTTGCAAGTTAGGGCTGACAGTCCTACTCGACTCCCCACTTGTAGGAAAGGAGGCAGGAGAGGAGGAGACACCCAGGCACAGCCCGCACCAGCAGGGCCCAAGTGGAGACGGAAATGTCAGCCCTCACTTTGTGTGTCCAGGCTCTTGCCTACAGAACACAACTTCAGCTTATATCTATCATTCTTGCTTGGGATTTTTTTTTTTTAATCATTTTCGTGTGTCTTCTACCCAATTCCTTATTCCACTAGATTCAATGTTACTCTCACAGTTATACTGGGGAGGGGGCACGAAGGGACAGTTCCTCTGAGAGGAGCGAAATAGGCCTCTCTGTACAGATCTACATCCACAGATTTGTTGGGAGGGCCTGGAGCCTGCTGCATCCCGCCATTTCCCCCCAGCGGTGTAAGTGACTTCCTAATTGTCGCTGTGGCCTCTGACCCGGGGGGTAATACAAGTGCCACTCACGCTAGAGGCTTCTGGTGGTAATTGAGGGCACCCTTTGTACGGTTTCGCCAGCGCTAAGATACCAGGTTAACCCAGTTGTCAAATATGACTAAACAGTGGGATGTGCTGATTATCTGCCGGGTTTTGCTGGGGGCTGGCGTGGGGGTGGGAGGCATCAGCCCATACAACACGCTGCACGAAGCCGCTTATTTTCACATTGTAACAACTTTGGAAACAGAGACCGGCGCGAGCGGCGTCCGCCCCCACCTCCACCTCCGCTGAAGCTGCAGCTTGCTCGGCTGTTTGTTTAACCCGGTGAAGATTTGCATGTCGCGTTTCATCCTGGAGTGAAATTTTCTTGTCCCAGCTCCAGCCCACTCCCACTCCAGACTGCCAAGGCCTAGAGTCTCGTCTGTAAGGCAAGTGCGCCGTGTTAAGAGGTGGGGTCCCCCTTAGTGCCCTGCTTTCACGGACGTGCCCGAGAAATCTCTCCAGGATTTTCACCCGGGAAGGCGGAGGACCAGGCCACACGTGGGCGCCCCCACATTTTGCAGGCTGGAAGCATCCTGAAGTCCTCCCTGGACCTTGTCAGTGTGAAAAGAGGTGTCCTCAAACAGACCAGGGTGCGTCTTCGAGTCCCCCAGCAACCGCTGAACTGCTTGTTTTTCTGTTTCTGGGCCCCGCTTTCTCTTTCTTCTCCAGGGTAACCAGAAGCTGTTTTTGAACCAGAAATACCAGCGCCCTCGGGCAGACCTGGGCGCTGGTTTTAACATAGCACACTCCCCACCAAACCCACACCCTGCTTCTTAGGAAAAAAAAAAAATTAAACTACCAACCCCAAACCCTCGAGTGCAAACGATGAGTTGTCGCGGAGCGGGTGCAAATGACAAGGATGTGGAACTGTGCCACCCGTGTTTTCTCTCCACTTTTGCAAGATCTCTTGACCTAAAAGTACGACCAGAGTGGCACTGCTCTCGGCCCTGTGATGGAGCCTGGGTGCGTCTTGGCGCACTCCGTGGGTGGGGAGGGCTATGAGGGTCGCTTTCTTGGATTCCTGTTAAAATACTTTGGCTCAGAATGGTTTTTTTTCTTCTTCTTTTATTTTTTTCTCTTTTTTGTTTAAGGTGGCGAAAGCACCAAGGAAATTATGACAGAGAAACAGAAGGGACAGAGGAGAAGAGAACGAGAAGGCTCGTGTGGCTGTCAATGAAGTGCTGTGCCCTGGGAGACTGTAGTGGAAATGGGGGTGGGGAGGTGTGAAAAGTCCCTGGGGGACGCGGGGTGGAGGGTTGAGGAGAAATCAGACCGCCTAGACGAGCCGGAAAGCCCAGCAGGGGGACCCGGGGGCCGTTCCCAACAGGTGACTTCTGCCCTGGAAGAAGACAGTGGTTCTCGGCTTCCCATAGAGTCTCCGCGTGGATTTACTAATAGAGGGATTGTTAAGTGGCAGCGAGGCGTTTCCGACTCACCCTGTGCAGCCCGGGGAGGAGAAACGCCAAGATTTCCCCCGTCCACCTCCTCCCCCACCCCCAACACACCCTCTCCTTAAGGAAACCTGACAAAGTAATAAATAAGACAATCCGAAAAGCCACTTAGCACTAGTGACATTTTCAAGCCAACCATTTAAAACAGTTCTCGCAGACACCTCGGGCTCTGGCGCCCTGCTCGCCTTCCTCTTCTCCTCCTCCCCTCGGGTCCCCTCCCCTCCCCCTCCCGCCGTTTTCCCGTAGTTCCAGCTGTCCGACTCTAGACGTGGGCACTCGCATATTCCTTTAGATACACGCGTCTGCATCACAATAAAAGTTAGGGAAATCTTCCAAACGAACGCAGGCAAACACCCGGGCCACTTTAACTCTAAGGTGGGGCCCCAAGGAAATCTTTCGGAGGAAGTCCAGATTTTTTTCGTCTGACAGATTTTTTTCATCCTCTAAAAAAATCTAGTTTTTAAACAAAGATCAATGTGTTATGCTAAAGTGTTGAGCTGACTGTTAAAACATTTGGGGAAATAATGACAATGTAACAAAGGCCTGGTTTGGAGTGAATCATCACCCTTTTAAAAGTTAAAGCAATTTTCAGGAGAATAGCTTTCAGCAAACGCTTTACATTATTCAAAACGGCCAAATAATGCTCTATTATAGCGCCTGAATGCTGCCAGTCAGCCCCTAAGTGCAATTTGTGCAAAGGCCCCGGTGCCTTATCTCCACTTCTTTATAAAGAGGTGAATATAAAACAATTTCTTCCAAACCCAGACAGAGAGCACGAAAATTGCTTCCCTTTCTGCAATCAGGGCAATTTAACTGGAGTGCAATTAGCACTATTAAATGTCGATTCTGCATAAACAAATCTGACTGAGCAGCGAAAGTGGGGTGAGAACCTCATATACACTGAAACTGATTTTTTAAAATTATGTATCCGGGTCCTTTACAATTGATCCGTGACGTTTTCATCTTGGAATATATTTACATCATAAATACACTATGGTTAAATCAACATAATTTTTTTGCAAAAAAATTCAATACGAATCCTAATAAAGAAGAATAGGGTAATTAAAGGGAAGAGTTCACTTCCTTTGAACAAATATTGTTTCTCCCATCTAGGCTTTCCCGGGAGCTTTGATCTGAGCAACTGCTCAAGTTGCTGTGTTTAGAAGGCAAAGCCAGGGAAACAATTCGGTCATTAGCGCTGATAGGAAGGATTGGACTCCTAAGCCACAGATAAAATGCTTCTCCCTGATGCGCAGAAAACATAGTGGCGACTGGGAGGACCAGTTATTTTCTGAATAACTAGATATAGTAACTGGTTAAATATTAAGTGACTGCCCAGTCTCCCCGGAGCTTTGACTTAGCACAGAGTTTAGCAGCGGATATACACCACTGGGGTGGGGTGAGGTTGGGCTGGGGTGAGGTGGAGTTGGGGGGACTCCGGAATATGGTTGAAGGGGAGGCATTGCGGGAGGAGGAACGGAAGGTGCTCGCCTTGGCCAAGCTGGCTGCAGTCAAAGTCTGGACCACCGGGACTAGGAGGAGGGGTTGGGGGTGAAGGGAGCCCAGCCTATAAAAAGCATTTATCTGACCTGTCCTCCCTACTGCCTTTATTTATTTGCTAAGCCACAGCGCTCCTTTTTAAATGATTTGTGCAATTAATTATGCTTTTCATTTGCATGATCTTCACTAGAGCAGTGATTATCAGGTCAGCACGGTGTGGGAGTTGCAGAGATACATTAATAACTTGAGTTAAAAAAAGAAAAAGCTGCCCTTGTGTACCAATGTTGCCTGCCATGAGCAAGGGAGAAGGAAGCCCAGGAAGGTCCATAGTGCCTGTTGAGTCGGGTGAATCCTTTCCACAGTTGGAGTCTTGTCAGCGGTTGGTGAAAATGAAATACAGCCTTTGATTAGCAGGGAATCTTTTATAGTTAACACATATTTATATTTTTTAAAGCACCAGTTGTTGAGATCAAATGGATGGAGAAAATTAATTAAAAATTGAGGAACTCTCCCAGTTTCTGTTGAGCTTTCCTTTAATATTTGTTCTATAATGTCCTAATTCCAGCCTAACCCTTGCAAATGAAAGAGCAAGGAAGATTCAATAGGCCAATGGGACTTTCATCTTTTCTTTTTTTTGTATCTCAGAGGCGTCACTGCTATTTAGCAGTGGTAGAAGATGCAAATCTTTCTTGCCTCTGTAGGGTCTACTGAAGAAATTGAAAACTCCTAGTCTATTAAGTATAGTCCAAACATTTGTTACACAACTAATTTTCTGCTGTTAGATGTATCTGGGCCATATATTTTAAGCTTGCCTCGATCTGTTTATCTGAGCCCAAAATGCATTAACAATTAAGGGAAAGACTGGTGTGTCAAAGGAAGGAAGGTGACTGTAGACTGTGTGATGATTTTAATGACTGCAATTATTGGAAGATTATTCAACAAGCATCATAGATTTGTTTACTGCATCACTCAGAAACTATGGGGGGCCTATTCAGCTTGGGGTTTTACTTTCCTCCCTCCCTCACCAACTACCAAAGAAGGGTCTTAGACCTAAGCAAATGTGGCATTCTGTAGTCACTTTCTTCTTTTTAAGAGCATCTCTTCCAAAATGATGCACATGTATTGTCTCAGCCAACTCTAATGGAACCACCTTTGGAGACATTAAAGCAATCTTTTCACATAGACCTGAACTAATATCAAGAAAAGCCAGAGGCCAGGATTTTGATCATTACTCAGTTTCTCCTAGCCAGGGTACCAGTTTCCTCAGTGTTACCCTTTCATAGGCAGATTTGAGGAGGCTTCCAACTCTTTCCTCCTCTATCCAGGGCTTGGAGAAGGCACTACAACCACAAGACGTTAAACAGGAGTGTAGGCATACCTCCAGGACACCCTGGGATAAAGATTGGCTTTTCCTTCCTTCCCTTTAACACACCCTCTCCCATGTTATTTCCTATCACAACTCCTGATGTTGCTTTATTAAAAATAAGTAAGTAAAAAGAAAAGGTATGGCTAAATGCATATCCGTTTGTGACTAAGGAAGTTTTTACTGTAAATACAGACACAAGGATGCAAGTAAGGAAAGTTTCTTGTCTGATATCAACAAAATGATCCTCAGTCCACAATAATCTATAAATTGTGGCATGGGCTTTGCTCATTAATCGTGACAGATTTGGAAGGGAAATTGGGGGAAAAATGAACAGCAAATATCCCCACTAACACCCCCTTTCTTCCCTCCCCTGTAGAACTGAGACCGGAGTGACTGTGCCATCTAGACTTTCTTCCTGGGTTCTGTAATCGCCCAAACTCAAGCTTAAGGTGGACTTGCCTGGAACCTTCCCTGTTCAAATGTGAGCCTGCAGGATTCTGCAAGTGGCAATTAGGAGCCTATTACAAGCCATTAGATTGATCAATGTACCTTAAACAATGCGAATGAATTATATGACTGATTTATATGGGGAAGAAAAAGAAAGCAGTGGGGGAGGACGATTTCATCTCCTTTACATCCACACGCTGTTCTGGAGAAGAACCGGGCCCAGCCTATGGTTCATCATAGCTTAGAACCACCCGAGCGATTTATCTAGAAAACTTTTCAAGCAAAGACAAGGTCCTCTCAGCTTGTCCGGTGGCTGGCGAGGTGCACGTTCTCTGCCTCTCTCTCGGCTTCCTAAGGAAGAGCTTAGAAAGACCAAGGCCCCGAGGGGCGGCGGAAGGTCACAGCGACGCCACTCCGCTAGCCAAGGACACCACCCGGAGCGGGCTCAGCTGCCTCCTTCCCTAGAGTCTGTCCCCAGAGAGAGGGAGGACGACTTACATATTTGTTTAACGGAGTGCTGGAGAGCTGCGTGGCCTCCTAATTACGTCAGGAACACAGAACCATCAGCCCTTGAAGTTTCCAGCGAGACTTCGGAAGGAGCGGCGACCCGGCTCCAGGCGCGAGATGACGCGGGGGGTGGGGAGGGAGGGTACTCCGTGGAACGGAACTCCAAGCTAGGGCTGGCGGTTCCAGCTAATCTATCTGGCGAAGACAAAATTACAACAGAGCTGGAGCGATCAAAGCTGGCCCCCGCCCCCACCCCCACCCCCGCCCGCCCGCCTTCCCTGCCCAAAGTCTGTTTGTAGTTGTCTCCTCGACTGCAGACACACTCGTCCATCTTCTCACGACAAGGAAATTCCTGCCAGTTTTCCCAGAGCCTGCAAGGAGAGGACAAACGCACTTCACCCGTCCCAGAGGAGGAGGATTCCCTTTGTTTAACCTCCTCCTCCCACAGTCGGCCTTCGGCTCTGAAATGGGGGAGGGGAACAGGGGATGGAAAGACCGTGGGCGGGGAAGGGCGGTTATAACAGAACCCCAGGTCCCACTCTGCCTTGCTGGTCCCTCCTCTTCCTCCTCCCTCTTCTCTTTCCAAGCTTCTCCCCCACCTCTCTCTCCCTCCTTCCGATCTTCTAGAGCCTCTTCCCACCCAAGTCCTCTCTCGGGCTCGCGCGCCCAGAGCCTGGGCAGGCGCTGTTTATTTCCCGGCCTTCGTGGTTTGGCGGGAAAGGGCTTCGTCCTGGCTTGTTCTTGAGTGTCTGGGACAAATCCTTTTGTTTGTGTCTAAACGTGGAATGAGAAGCCTTCCAAGTTGATAATGGGGCTCAGAGAGAAGAGGAAAATATCAGAGAAGCAACATGCGTGTGTCTTTTGCAGCCAGTATGCGATGGCAGTCCAGGGTTTGGAACCCCTTCCAGGTGGATCATGATTTCGCACACACACCCAACTGTGCTCATCTGTCTTTCATTACCCATGTTCCACTCTCCTGGGTTCTTTTCTAAGTTAGTTCCTTTCAGCCCTCTCCTTCCTAGACCCTCTTCTCAGAACGCTACCTTTCAGTGAGAGGGTGAGAAAAAAAGATAGATCGTAAGACTCCCCTCGAGGACCGAAGCACCCCCGTGACATATCCGGAAACAGGCCAGCCCTGGGCCGACACGTCCATGCTTTCTTGATTTCGGCCACTGTAGAGCCCAACCCTGACAGGCTAGACTTTCCCGTCACACCCACCGATGTCAAACCACGCCCTTCCAGATCCAGAAGGATACCCTCCGCCCTGACCCGCTTCTTGGAACATTGACTGAAGGGTATATACACAGGGGTAGAGGAAGTCTCCGTGCACTTTAGACACGTGCTCCTCCCCCTCGCCCCGTTGCCACATGCAGAATGTACACTGATGACAAACAGACACACTTACCAGGGCACATGCCAGCGGCGTCCATCCTCCTTCCCAGCCAGGCATCAGCAAGCGAGACCGCCTTGAGGCAGGTGCCATCGCCGCAGGGAGGGTGGCTCCGAGCTCCAGATGTCTCCCTGGGAGTCGGGGCATTCAGGTACCCCAAAGCCAGTTTCGAGCCTCCCGGGCGGGGTGGGCGACCTTGACGAGTATGGGCGTCCCCCTCCGCCTCCCGCTGTGCTTCCGCGCCGCTTCCTGCTCTGCACCACCTCCGCCGCCGCAACTGCCCGAGCGCCCCTCTCCGAGAAGCCCTCTGCCCGCTGCATGCAGCCCATAGGCTCCGCTACATCTGGGATGCATTGCCCCTTAATTGTCAATCCCATTATTGTGATCAAGTGAACGTTGCTAATCTCTACATTTATTGTTTAGGTAAACAGAGGCTGCATTTAATCAATATGCAGGGCCCCAGCTCTCGCAGCGCCAAGTAACTTAAGTCAACGGTGAAGATTTCAGTGTGTGCGTAATTACAGTGCTCGCGGAATCATCGCTCCAGCTCAATTCCACGTCTCTTCGCTGACCCGGGGGAGGGGGAGGAGGGAATGGGAGGAATCTCCACCCTCCAAGGGGTCGAGGGCCGGCTCCCTAAGGGCAAATAAAAGACTTCGTGGCGGTGACACCGCGCGCCAGGCCCGCGCCCTCGGCGGTGCGCACTGTGAGCGCCGGGGCCTGAGGCGGGACTGGGGACTGCCCCCGACTTCTGAGCGGCAGAATCTGGCGCTTGGCGCCCCGGCTCTACCGCTCCTGGACCCCTCCCCTTCCAAATTTGCCTCAGGGAGGAGGGTGGTTCCCCATTCGGCGGGTCTCCGGCAGGCGGGAAAGCGGGGGCGGGGCCCTGGAAGTGGGTTGCCCCAAGTTCGCGACGCCCCTGCCCCAGCACGCAGGCTCCCTCTTCTCTTCCGCAGCTGCCGGGAGCAGCAGAGTTCCTTGCCCGCGGGGAACTCCCAAGAATTCCACGATTGGGCGCGCAGAGCGCGGGTTATTTGCCCTTCTTCCTAAATAGCTATTGTTTCCTAATTTAAGAGGACCTTCGCCGGGCTAGAACGTCAGGGATGCGCAGCAGGGGGTGGGCGGGTCTGGGGAGATGGGCGGTTCGCGCCGGCGAGGGGTGGTATCAGCTCCTTACAGTAGCTTGGCTCCCGGAGTGGTGTCAGAGTGAGGGCCTCTGGGTCTCGGCGGAGAAAGGGTTAGCTGAGAATCTTCCGGAGGGCGGCGGAAAGAACCCGACCGCCACGACACCTTGGAGTGGGGCCCGAGAAGCTGATCCTCAAGTTTGAGGCGCCAACACTTCTCTTTCGGCAACTCTGTTGTCGCGAGTTTCTCTTTCTTCTGGTTCCTCTTTCTCTGCTCCATTCCCGGACAAGTCGGACATAAACAACCAATAACTTCAGTTGTAACCAGATACCCGCCTTGCATGGAATTGTCCGGCTTTATGTAAGCAGGATTCTGAGGTCAACTCATCATTTGACAGTTTAGGGTGCCATTGCAACCTCCCAACGAAATTACAGCTGAAGTTTGAATATAAGGGCCCATGGTATTTGATGGCAGCTGGCTGTTTTTAATTTTCGGAATGGAACAGTTTTCGTATAAGGTATCCCTCCCTGCTTTCTTCTTCCCTTAAGTTGAATAGCATTTGGAACAAGAGGGAAATGAAACACAAATGTCAGTGCAATCCCGAAAACCTTTTTCTTTCTATTTCTACATTCAGAGCCTCCCCTCTGACCGGCCTAAGCTATTCCTAAGCCTGTAACTCTCCCCATCAGTTGGGCAGACCTCTTACCACTGGGCTGCAAACCAGTGCTGCCTCTGCCTCTACAGTACAGATAAACGTGATGTCAGACTTTTTTTTTTTTTTTTTTTGAGACAGACTCTCACCCTGTCGCCCAAGCTGGAGTGCAGCCACGCGATTTCGGCTGACTGCAACCTCCACCTCCCGGGTTCAAGTGATTCTCCTGTCTCAGCCTCCCGAGAAGCTGGGATTACAGGCTCCCGCCACCACGCCCAGCTAATTTTTTGTATTTTTAGTAGAGTCGGGGTTTCACCATCTTGGCCAGGCTGGTCTCGAACTCCTGACCTCGTGATCCACCCATCTCAGCCTCCCAAAGTGCTGGGATTATAGGCATGAGCCACTGCACCTGGTCCAGACTCTTTTGATTAGGAATGTCAACTTAACCTTTTCTGGATGGCAGTTGTTTTTAAGCCAGCATAAGGAAAAGAAAGGCAAGAGAGCTGATAGCCAGGGCTCCTGGGTAAGCACAAGCCCTTTGGAGGTCTCAGGAGCTGGGTGTGAATTAAGGCCCACCACTTTAAGGCCCTGTGACCTTGGGCAGGCCTTGAAACTTATCTTTCCTCCTCTCTAAAACGAAGCTAATAATTTCGACTTTGAAGGATTGTTGTGAAGGTTAAATAAAACTATATAGGAAAATTCCTAACAATGTGCTCAATACTTATTAATAGTTGAGCTAAAAAAGTTCCTGCCTTCCATTTTCCACTGAAATAGCATTCCCAGCTAAAACTTACTGTGAAACTAAAGGCAAAGCCAACAGCCGCTATAAAACAGAATTTTAGTGTGTGTGTGGGAAGCACAGGGCCTAGTACAGAAGCAAGGTTGGATGAGGATGAATGCAATGACAGCCTGCAGCTGCCTGATTTGGAAGGAGTAAGGTTAGCTGCTCCAGTCAGCCACACATTTCATGGTCTGGCTTTCATAGTTCTGCAGGAGGGGAAGAGGAGGCCTTGTCTCTAAAAATAATAGCTAATATTTATTGAGCAATTATTATATACCAGGCATTCTGCCAAGTGCTTTACACACAGCATCTCATTTAATCCCCACAATAACCTTACCAGGTGAGTCTTACTGATATCTTTTTTAAAACTTTTATTGTAGAAAAGACCTGCTGAGCACAGTGGCTCAAGCCTATAATCCCAGCACTTTGGGAGGCCAAGGCAGGGCAGATCCCTTGAGCCCAGGAGTTTGAGACCAGCCTAGGCAACATGGTAAAACCCTGTCTCTATAAAAAATACAAAAATTAGCTGAGCATGGTTGTGTGTGCCTGTGGTCCTAGCTACTGGGGAGGCTGACATGGGAGGATAGATTGAGCCTGGGAGGTCGAAGCTGAAGTGAGCCATGACTGCACTCCAGACTGGGTGACAGAGCAGGATCCTGTCTGAAATTTGAAAAAAAAAAAAAAAAATCAAATACTTATTTAGAAATAGAATATTTTAATGAGCCCTTCTATATCCATCACCCAGTATCAACAGTTGTCAGCTCACGGCCAAACTTGTTTCATCTCTATCCCATCCATTTCCCTCTTCCTTATTTTGAGGCAAATTTCAGATATTATATTATTTTATTTGTAAATATTATGGTATGCATCCAAATGTCAAAGAAAAAACACCAAAAATTCTCCAATACCATGTTATTCTATAATTATATCTAAACACATTAAAGTCTCCCCAGTTGTGTCATAAATGATTTTTTTAGTTGTTATTTTTTTTTCAAATCAGATCTAAACATGCACACATTGCATTTAGTTAATATACCTCCCAAGTGTCTTTTAATCTATACGTTATTCTCTCTTCCTTTCCTTGCAAATTATTTGTTCTGATATCCCCCTCCCCACCCCCACCCTGTTTTTTTAAGAGACAGGGTCCCACTGCGTTTTCCAGGACAGACTCCAGTTGCTATTCACAGGTGGGATCATAATGCACTACAGGCTCAAACTCCTGGTCCCAAGGGATCCTCCTACCTCAGCCTCCCCAGTAGCTGCAACTACAGATGCACACCAGAGCCCTCAGCTGATATTCTTTTATATGTAAAGGTTTAATTAATTAATTTAGAGACAAAGTCTCACTCTGTTGCCCAGGCTGGAGAACAGTGGTGCAATCACAGCTCCCTGTACCCTTGACCTTCCGGGCTCAATGGATCCTCCCATCTCAGCCTCCCAGGTGGCTGGTACTACAGGAACATGTCACCTTGCCCAGCAATTTATTTATTTGTTTACTTTTAGTAGAGACAGGGTTTCACCATGTTGCTCAGGCTGGTCTCAAACTCCTGGGCTCAAGCGATCCACCCGCCTCGGCCTCCCCAAAGTGTTGAGTGTAAGCCACTTTGCCTGGCCTTATTCTTTTTATAAATGAAGAAACTCAGAGAGGTTGAAGGAATTTAGTAAGGGATAGAAAAGGAATTTAGTCCAAGATATGACCAATTCCAGAATCCAAGCACTTAATGGCTTTATTATATTCACTTTAAATCAAGTGATGAAAAGCATGACACAGAAGAAACATAATCACTCATAAAAGATTTCAGAACATGCATGACTCCCCTAAGCAACCAGTTCCTTTACCAAGTACCCATGGAAAACTGTTCACTTAAAACCCAGGCAAGGCTTGAAATGCGGGAAGAGAAATTGAAAACAGAATAACCCAGTATCCTCCTTGTGTTTTGAATCTGACTAAATAAATCCTGCATGCAAATGTATCCATAACGTAAAATAATTTTTACTTCCAACAAATATTTAGCAAGGCAAAAACATTTCTTAAATCTATCAGGTTTTTTTCTCCTTTTTTCTTCTGTTTTTCCTGATCTCCCTTTCTCTCTGTTCTCTATAGCTAAGATAAGGCGAAAACATCTCTTTCAAGCAATTATTTTAAAATACCAGTCAAATTAACAATTTGGTAGTCTGATATGTGATATCTGGCTTTTGTTATGGTAGTTTTGAAACCACAGTTACCCTAGCAACTGAATACATTTTTTCTTTAAAAAAATTTTAGCTGTCTGAAGGAGAAAAAAAAAGAAAGAAAAAGAAAACTTCGTGCCAGAATTTTCCCATAATAGCTTCCATTAACTGCAGTGACTTCTATTGGAGAGGCCAGCACTGCTGTCTCCTGCTGTCACCAGTCATTCACTGATCTAGCAGATGTTTTGTTTGATAAGGCCAATTTGAGTTTTATAAAACATTTATTTTTTTCACCTCCAAGGAGCAAATACTAGTAAGGATGGATTCAACGTCTATCACTGGATACCATACAAGGGCATCAACCTGCCAGTGGAGCTTGTAGGTGAGAAGAAAAACTAAAACAAATCTAAAGGCTTCATTTATTTAAAAAAAAAAAAAAGGGCGGGGGGGGGGGGGAAAAAAAAGAGGAGGGATGGTTAAAGGGTATTAGAACAGTCCCTAAAAACTTAGCAAGAGGCCAGGTGCAGTGGCTCACGCCTACAATCCGAGCACTTTGGGAAGCCAAGGTTGGCGGATCACCTGAGGTCAGGAGTTAAAGACTAACCTGGCCAACATGGTGAAACCCCATCTCTACTAAAAATACAGAAATTAGCCAGGCGTGGTGGTGCACGCCTGTAATTCCAGCTACTCGGGAGGCTGAGGTGGGAAAATTGCTGGAACCTGGGAGATGGAGGCTGCAGTGAGCTGAGATCATGCCACTGCACTGCAGCCTGGGCAACAGAGTGAGACTCCATCTCACAAAAAAAAAAAAAAAAAAAAACTTGGCAAGAGGAAAAAGGGAGCAGAAGAGCCAACAGTCTATAACAGAATCTTTCTGGCAATACCTGCTAACTATGCAGTTGCCAAAGAGGGCAATGATGCTAGTTAATGAGAAAAAGGAAGAAAGAGAGTGATGCACATTGCATTGAGTTTTGTAGATTTGATAAACCATGGGTTGGCTTTTTTTTTTTTTTTTTTTTTTTTTGAGACGAAGTCTTCCTCTGTTGCCCAGATTGGAGCACTGGAGTGCAATGGTGCGACCTTGGCTCATTGGCTCATTGCAACCTCTGCCTCCCGGGTTCAAACAATTCTCCTGCCTCAGCCTCCTGAGTACTGGGATTACAGGCACGCACCACCACGCCCAGCTAACTTTTGTATTTTTAGTAGAGATGGAGTTTCACCATGTTGGTAAGGCTGGTCTCGAACTTCTGACCTCGTGATCTGCTCGCCTTGGCCTACCAAAGTGCTGGGATTACAGGCATGAGCCAACGCACCCAGCCCATGGGTTGGCATTTTAAGGAGGTGAAGTAGATAAGACTCAGCAAGGCAAAAAAGATGTACATTAGGACTTCTTGGAGCAACTAGACTCTGAATGTTGGTGAAAATGTTCACTTCCTCTGAACAAAATCCCTTTCACAGTCATGCTTGTAATGCAGACAGCTCTAGGTTTCTTTTCTTAAAACACACACACAAACTGATTTTATAAAAATATCCATATCCTTTCTCTTGAATAGAAGGTTTTAAGACCTGGAGCTATAGTGTGGGGAAATCAATAGATGGCAAAAGAAGTACGGGGTGGTTCTGCCCCTGTTAGTAAGATACTGCCTTTCATGGGCCTCCTGGGGCTCA